TAAATAAACATACATTTTTTAAATAAATCTTATTTATTATTATTTATTGCTCAATTTTATAACCTATCTATTTTTCTAAAAATGTTGGCCCGCGATGCCAAAGCGTATATCAAATTTGGCCCGCGGTAAAAAAAGGTTGGAGACCCCTGCTATAACCATTGGCGGATTTAAAGGTTCAAATAAAGTCGGCAAATCCAAAAGAGGGGCCTCGTAATAAATGTATCACTAAAATCCTTAGCCCCATTTTACAAAGCTACTCGCTACACTCGCGATACGAAAATGGAAAATAGTACATTAGAAATAATGTAATGCAGCGAAACTGATAATAAATCATTGTTCATATACTTGTATAGTGTACATACTCAGAAATTATATGAATTCTATAATCAATATTAACAGTATTTCTAACTATATCTATATTCGATCTTTTTTACTTTGTTTATAAATAAAATGTTCTATTTTTGAAGTATTCGGAGTACTCTTGAGTATTTCCTGTATATTTAAATTATTTTGTTATAAATAAAAATAGTAATTGTAAACGATATTACAATTTGTACCATAATTTTTTTTTCCGGTAAAATTTAAAAAAAAATTACTATCATTTTTCAGGGCCTCAGTGAATAATTTAAGAAGGGGCCCCGTCGGCATTCGCCGACTAAACGACCGTTAAATCCGCCACTGGCTATAACTATAAAAAATTCACTATTTTGTTAACAAAGTGTGCCTCTTAATATATACTGTTAAAAGCATCCTGATTCTATCATTTTTCTATTTCAATGTAAAATAATTTTATATGTCTTGGATATAGCTTTCCGCATATCGGTATCCATTTTTAAGTTATTCTCCAAGTATGTGAATAGCAGCTCATGAATCATATGCAGAAATACTCGATCGAAAAAAATTGAAAAACTTATCAGGATCACTTCTTAATACTTCAAAAATTAAAGTAAATGCACCTTTGGATAAACGGGAAATAACTGAAGAGTGGATGAACCCACATTTTTTGTTTAATTTTTTTTTTTTATAAAATGACTGTAACCTAAGAATAAAATAAAATACGATAAAAAACTTTGATTTAAATTGCTGACATGAAAAATATCGCTCGGTAAAATTTTGCGTGATAAAATATCGCCCATGTGTGGCCGGCCTACAAAAAAATTTTGTAAATATAAATTGATAGTATCAAAGAATGAGTCATGAATTGAAGGAAAAAAGCAAAAAATCGATTAACAGTGCTTATGTGAGATTTTTACGCTGATGTGTGATCTTAGAATAAAAATTTCCTGGTATTCTTAGGTAATAGTCTATGTCACCCGAAAATTGAACGATCTAATATGAAAATACTAATGCCGCACTCGAATAATCACCCAACAGTGGCAGCACGTGTATATGTGCACAAGTGCACGTGCACTACCTACCCAAACTCAAAAAAATTGAAAACATAAACCATAATAATACAACTAAATACCTGTAGTGTTATTAAGATTATTTTTCAAAATATAAAAATATAAATTCAGAATATTATGAAAATAATATAATATTTAGATGGGGTTTCCGAAGGCCAAACGGGCAGGTGGTTGTCCGCGACGAAACGGTATCAGTGAATGTGTTATAGTGATGCTGTAGTGCACACTATTGGTGTGCACATTTGTACAATGTAAAAATTAAAACAAGTCGAAACACGCAACATGCGTTATAATGGATTGATGTGCACATAACCAATTAACTTGTTTTCAGTGAATTATTTTCTGTCGGCGCGCCGTTGGCATCGTCATTATGATTTATTTTTACTCACATTTGTTTATTATACTCCAATTATTAGCTGATAATGTTAGTCATTATCTTAAATTTAAAACAACAATCATGTTTCTGTTTACTATCGACCACCGACGTTAACGTATATTATTATTCGTGTAACTAACGAACAGCAATTAATTTATATATATATATAGATAGATAGATAATAATGTTACATATACCTAAATCTATGTTAAAATTAATATTTTTTTTACCAACCTACATATCTTACAAATTAATTGTGTACCACCTTATGTGAACCTCATGAGCCGCCACTGTCACCCAACCAATATAGCAAGAAGTGATTTATATGTTCAAGCATAAGCGCAAATAGCAGAGGGGCTGGTGGCTAAGCCCCCCTAAACATTGTATAGCCCCCCTGAATATAAATATTTTAAATGTAGTATTTATAATTATTGACTATTATTTTATTTAGTATATTTTAAAAATAAATACTGAAGATTTAATGTGTGAAACGACTGTATTTTTAAATATTTTAAATGGGAATACAGAATATGAATATTTTAAGGAACGTCTTCACATCAAGTTTTTCCAAATTTATTTAAACTCGTTCAAGTAGCAATCACATTACCAACCAGTTCATCCACTTGTGAGAAATCATTTTCGGCAATGCGAAGGATCAACACATATTTAAGGTCTACTATGTCTCAAAACCGGTTCAATGAATTAGCTATACTTAATATAGAAAAATATTTTGTTGTAGGCGTTGAGGATATTTTAAACGAATTTTCTAAAACAGAAAGAAGAATAAAACTAATGTAAATTTATTTTTTAATAACTTGTGATTAAAACATACATATTTAAGTATTGTAAATTAATGATTTTGATTGGTAAATTTAATCTGAGCGTAGCGAAGAAAATTTTTGTAATATAAGTGTCAATAAAGTGTTCAAAATCAACATGAGTTTCAGCCCCCCCCCCCCCCATCTCAAACACTATTTGCGTCTATGCGTTCAAGTCTAATCATACTAAATACCCATCGACTAAAATCTTTGTAATTTATTATTTATTTATTTTGTAAAATGGATAATTGCTCTTCAGCCCAACAGTTATCTCACTAAATTAATTAATATCTTGGATTCAGTCAACTGGATAACGTTGGATTGCGATAGTGTATATACATTTTCCAGAAAATGATCGAAATAAATGAAGGTGTCTTACAACCAATTTTGATATAGTAGATTTCATTAAATTTGATAGTAAATTGGAGTTGCATCAAACTTATGATTCTGCGTCTTTTTTAGAAGAAAAGGAAATTCAAATCCCAGAAAACGATGATTATTATGGTGACAATGAGACAAGCGATGAGTTACAAATAAAATATTTTAATACCGTGATTACATATTTAGAAAAATTAAAAAAGTTTTCAGCCACAATTTTAAATTTAAATTTATTAGAATTAATAACTAAATCACTATAATTTGCTAAAAGTGCTGTTTACTGATTAAGTAGGGGAGAGATTTCATTCTAGCGTTTAAAAAAATTCATTTGCTTTTTATATGGTCTGCCCATATTAAACGTTGGTCTAGTATTAAGTCTAAATAGCGAGAGCTAGTAGCTTTTGGGGTGTTATAATCGTCTAATGTGATTGATGGTATTGTTCCTCGTTTTAAGGTAAAGGTCTAATGTGACGATTTTACATGATTGATTTTTATTTTTCATTTCGTGTATCAAAAAGAAATGCGGTCTAAATAATTTTGTAGATTATAACCAACCGTTATTGGATTTACATGTGAGGAATAAATTATTTTGTCATCAGCGAAATCCGCAACGGAAGTGTGGCGGATCGTCGGTTGGTCTGCCGAATATAGATTGAACATAATATATGATGTGGCCCCTTAGGAACTCCTGCAGTTATTGGGGATAACGCCGAGATTTCAAGTCCTACTTTTGTTTTGTAGTAGCGGTCTTCAATATATAATTTAAAAAATGAATAGCAAGGAGGGGGTAAGATATTTTTCAATTCGTACAAAAGGCCAGAATGCCTAACTTTGTTGAATGCTTGGGCCACAACGAGAAGGACAGTTGATCAGTATTCTTTTTTTCCAGTTAGATATTGAGTTTAAGTAGTATCTAATATGTTTTTTCAGTTATAATTTTTAAGTATATATATATTATACACAGAACCCATTTAAATTTTAATTCATATGTTATAATATTTAAGTATACATTTACGCTTTACAAAATATTTACCTATATTACAATATGTTTAACATATATTTAGGTACATTTTTGAAACTTAATTTTTTTTTACCTTAACAACGTAAAATGTTATTAATCCCGAGCGATTCCGTTATAGATATGTTGTATTATACATACTAATTTATGTTGGTGTTATTTTATTTTTATTGCAAAACGGGCCATGGTCCAAGTACAGATAATTAAGATATAACATGACAATACGTTAAAATAATAGTATATATATAAAATACGCAAAAAACACAACATTAAATATTTTAGTAAATAATTTCACATAGTCTCATTGTGACTTAATCATTGTGAGTATATGATAACATCAAGTCGATTTATAATAAAAAACCAGTAGACTCTATATATTATGGTAGGTATATTAAATTATTATTTCATTATATTTTTAAAATATCATTTTCAATTTTGATTCTAGAATTAATTTAATGGATTTTATCGTGGAGTAAGATTAATTAAAGACAGTAATGTTGTAAAAATTAAGATAAGAAAGAAGAGAGAAGTGAAAAATTAAATGAGAGATTATTGGATGTAATTGAAAGCAATATACTCGTATAAAGATAATTGTAGTATTTTGAAAAATACCTGTATGTGAAATTAAGAAATTCTGAATCAAGGACTGGATGGTCTACTTTAAATAGTTGTGAGCAAAAACGAAATAAAAGAGAAAGGGTGTTGATTTTAGAATTTCTTAATGGTATTTTTATAAATCATATCTGAATAAGGTTTTTCAGTAGATGCTAGCATATTATATGCATAGGTTTTAGTAGAAAATATTAGACACTCAAGCAAAATTTTACTTAAATTATTTCCATTATTGTATAATACATTTTTTTTCAAGTGTTTGCTAATTAATCATTCTTTAAAATATTGTTGGGTACCATAAGCTGTACATTTTTATTTAAAATAATTATTTTTTTCTAATATTTTAATATTAATTGTAATAAGTATTTTTTTATGATATATTAATTTTCTAGGAAGGAAAAAAGAAATTTGAAAAACAAACTGCCAAATTTTGCCAGAGCCAAGAGCGCTACTTAAATCTGTCAACTAAAAAGCAAGATTCAGTGCTTCAAGAGGTTAGTCTTCACTTTGTGTTTATAATGAAATTGTCTTTATTGTGGATTTTAATTTATGCAATATACCATATATTTTTAGGCTGATGCTACATTAGAAATGGAACAACGCCATTTTTGTCAAGCTAGTCTTGAATATGTTTTTTTACTACAAGAAGTTCAAGAAAGAAAAAAATTTGAATTTGTTGAAACTGTAAGTTATATTTTATTTTTATTTTGTTGGTATCAGTTATAATCATGAACAAAAAAAAAAAAAAAGAAGAAGAAGCTTTAAAAATTATATTTTTTGTATAAAATGAAAACTCTTCAACTAGCATTATGTTCTTGATAATTAGAATTAATTAATTGTTTAGTGTCTCCTAAAGACTGACTTAACTAAATTGATTGTTAAAAGTTTATAGTTTAATTTGGTTTCATTGGTATAGAAATTCCAATGTATAAATTCAATTCTAAACATTTAAAATTTAAATAATCCTGTATGAGTACCGTAATTGTTTACTTTGCCATTTGTCTTAGGTTTTAGTTTCTTCTTTGATCAATATTCAGTATATTCTAACATAATATCTTCTTTATTTATTTTTAAATATGATATTTTGATTAGTTCAACAATGTATGAAACATAAATATATATTGAATTATTATCTGTACTTAAGAAAAATGTATCTTTAGATGCTAGGATTTATGTTCAGTTGGTTGACTTTTTATCATCAAGGTCATGAAGTTAATGAAGATTTTAAACCTTATATGCGCGAATTACAGTTTAGAATACAGAAAGTAAGTATATTACAATGAAAACTTAGTATTTTATTTGTACGTAATATACTAACATGTTTGTATGTGTGTGTAACAATAATGTTAGACTAGAGACAATTTTAATGAGACCCGCGACAAAACAGAATCTTTAATGAGAAAAATGTTGGAAATGAGACAGTCGGTAGGATATTATTAATTTAAAACTCATGTACAATATTATTTTTTTTATAATTATATAAGCTAATAATTGTTTTGTATTTATAGAAATCTTTAGAAACTAGTGTCAATAATCAGAAAGTTACAAGAGAAGGATATTTATTTCTCCTTGAAAAAAGTAAAAACATTTGTCCAATTTAAAATATTTTTACTTATTTATTTTCTTTATTAATTCTAGAGCTTCCAGGATTTAAAAACACTGGCCAAGCAACTAAATGGTTACAAAATAAATCATTGGGAGGTATAAGACTTGATTTTATGATCTTCTGTTCAATTCTTTTTTAAATTATTTATTTTGTAATTTTAGATGCACTTAGTACAACTACATGGACTAAACATTATTGTATTTATCGAAGAGAAACTAAAGAATTTGAAATGATAACATTTAATCAAATGATTGGAAAATTTGTAAGCTTTATTCTTACAATGTTTTCAATTATAATTCTTATTTTTCTATTGTTTTTTTTTTCAGAATACTTCTGAAAAAATGATAATTTCATCATGTATTCGACGAATGTCTGATTCCATAGATAAACGATTTTGTTTTGATCTTGCTAGTGACGATAGGTATGTTGAACTTATAGATTTATATGTATTATCTTAAATACTTTATTTTTCATATTTATTTTTCTAAGACCTGGAGTAATATATACATTTCAAGCATTATCGGAAGAAGATCGTAAACTATGGATGGATGTAATGGATGGCAAAGAACCAGTAATGTCACTAATAAATAATTGTATTATTCATTACTATTATTATGTTTTATGTTTAAAAGGAATATGGTTTACCATCCGTAACAACATTAAATAGTAACGACAATAATATATTTTTGGATGATGCCGGTTTTAATTTTGTGAATAAATGTATTCAAACAGTTGAATCACGAGGTATGTATAATTGACTACAAATTATAATGTATTGTGCATGGGATCAATATTTTTATATTATTATGTACAGGTTTAGATGAACAGGGACTATATCGAGTTGGTGGTGTTAGTTCTAAGATAACTAAACTTTTGGCGATGGGATTGGATCGTCGAAAACCAACTAATGGTTTAAATTCTCTGAGCTTCCTTGATGACTGTATTGAATGGGAGACTAAAACAATTACTAGTGCTCTAAAGCTATTTTTAAGAAATTTGCCTGAACCCTTAATGACATTTAAATACCATAATGCTTTTATATCTGCTGCCAGTAAGATATTTTATTTATTCACATATATTTTTCATGTCATAAATGCATATACTCGTTTTAGAACAAGAATTAAGATTAAGACGTATAAATGATGTACATATTCTTTTACACAAAATTCCTAAACAAAATTTTAACATGTTGGAACTCTTAGTTAAGCACTTGTGCAAGTAAGGCATTTTTATATAGTTTTCAGTGTATATTATAAATATTAATAATTTAATTTTTTTATTTTAGTGTTGTAACTCACAGTGAACAGAATCTCATGACAGTGAGTAATATAGCCGTATGCTTTGGTCCAACACTCATGAGACCTGAACGTGAAACAGTTGCAGCTATAATGGATATAAAATTTTGTAATGTTGTTGTTGAAATTTTAATTGAAAATTATACAAAAGTAATGTTTAATATAATTAAATTACGCCTGAAATTTACAAAAAAAATAAAAAATGTTTTATTTAGATTTTTAAAACTGAACCAGACCTAGAAGTTGAATATGAACCCACTCCAGGACCTCAACAACCTACTACATCACAAAAAATAAAATATTCACCTGTTGCTCCAGCAGTTACTCATGTAAGTTATTAAAATTTAATTCTTATCGCTTAGTTATTTCAATTTTGTTTAGGCAATTATAAGGTCATATTACGATGGACCAATGATAAGTACTAGTTTGCACAATGTGGGTACAATACCTCCTACCATTCCGTCCCACACTATACCAATAGTAAAGTCAAATAGAGTAAGTTAAATGTTTGTACTAAATTAATTTTAAATTTTTGTATTTTTGAATACATTTTTATTCTATAAAATTAATAAATAGTCTCCATCATCTAAAATTGTTGTTGAAATATCTCAAATTATAAATAAGTGTTTTGATATTATTTTCTATTAAATATTTTTTTTTTTTTTACTTACTACCCAATTCTTGGTCGCAAAGACAATTATTATTTAAAACTAAATACTGATGTTTGTTTAGAAATTTAATTTATTGTAAAAAATATAATTTGAGCTTTTATTACTCAGTTAAAAACAGCAAATTAAATAAATAATTTAAAAAATCGATTACAACAAAGTAAATTTATTAATGACTTTTCAGCTAAGTTTCACATCATCTACTTCAAGCGCATTATCAGAATCTAATCTCCACAACCTTAATGCTTATAATAAACCCACTACACACACGACCAGTCCAAATAAAAGTTATTACTATAATGTGGACACTCAAAATCCAGCCAACACAAGCTCTAGTAGTTCAAATGAGTCAGTTTGTTCAGTATTTTCCTTGGAAAACTCACAAATGCAACCATCCAGAGCACCACAGAAAACTAAGAGAAGTATTAAAATGGGCGTGCATTATGCAACGAGTTACAGGCCCCAAGATACTGTGTAAGTATTGCTGGGAAATCAATTGCTTGGGTGCATGAGTTAAAATCTTTCAACACTATCACATGTATATAGGGCAGTTGCTAAAGTATAACCAAAATAATTGATTAATACATTTTTTAGTTTGCCAAAGCAAAATACTTCGAATTTTTTATTTCAGTTTATATTCTTATAGATTTAAACTTAATAGCTAAAATTTGAAATTATTAAAAAAAAAAAAATCTTATATTCACAGATGAATATTTAATTTGGTCTTTACATTTCGCCCTATATATATGTATATATGTATACAATAATATGTACTATATCACTAACATTTTAATTTTAGTCACTAATACAAAATTTCAATATTGTTGTTTTTTTTTTTGGTGTTGGAATAAGTGGCTCATATCTGGCGTCATTAGTTGGTGGTCGCATTAGTCCTCCGTCGCATTTATCATTAAGGTTAACATTACAACGTATATATTTTGTCTTTAACAAATACTAATTTATTTGGTGGCTGTTGTTATAATTAGGATTGGCAAATTTACTTAAATTTATAATTGATATATTATAAATTGTTTATTATAATTGACAAAGATAAATATTTTATTGATTTACTACATTTTGAACATAAAATGTTTATATAAATATAAGTTATGTACGTATTATATTTGTATGTATAGTATATAACATTATATATTTACGTTATTTTGCCCATCCCTAATTACACGATATGTATCTCATTTAAAACTATAAAACGATCTATTGCAATTACTTGGTGTAAATGGGGCTTTGGATATACTATTTAATCATTTTTAATTTTATAATCTCATAACAAATATTAATTCACAATTTTCTTTTTTAATGCTTTTAATTCTGTATACAAAACTTGCAAAACCATGCAAAATATTTGATTCCACCAAAGTATGTCTTTTGTTTTGTATTTCTTAATTTTACACAACACCATTGTGCTCGTTTTATGTTTGTAGAAGAGTCCGTACTTTGTATGCATGTCTCGGAGAAAATGATGGTGAACTGTCATTTGAGCCAAACCAAATAATAACAAACGGTATTTCTAGTTGTTTTATTTTTTAATATTGTCATTAATTAACTGTAGTTTTATTAGTTCTTGCTCTATGTTTATAATATTTTTTTTATTTTTAGTGCGATCTTCGTGTGAACCAGGCTGGTTAGAAGGCACGTTGAATGGGAAAACCGGTTTAGTACCAGAAAACTACGTTGAACTATTGCCGTGATTGTTCAACTTTGGATTAACCAATTTCAATGTATTCTTACTAGTTAGGATACAAGCACGCGCAATTTTGTTTTTAAATTATATTTGTTATTGCTTTTTGTTATATAATTGGGCCTAATGATCATTTGTTAATGCGCACATAATTTAAAAAAGCAGAGTTACCAAAGAACACACAAGACATATAAGTTCCCATAACCAATATGTTTTGTAACTTCATTACATTCACATCACTGAAGTTTTACACGATCTCAATACCATCATGATTTTATTTCGAGTACAAATTTTTTTAAATTGTCAGATATTTAAATTTGAAATCCTCAAGCTATTTGGCCCATTATTATTTTATATATATATACTTTATTTAAATATATAAATATACAAATATATAGGACCTTTTTTTCAATTAAATAATTTTTCCAATATTTAATTATCCAATTTTAATATTTATTTATATTGTGATAAAATGTTATCACTTCATATCATTTGTGTATAATTCATAACAGCTATTAGTATTATTATTATTACTATTATTATTATTATCTGTGTTATATTGTGACTGAAATGCCAATATTTCCAAAGGTAATTAGTAATGACTTATTACCATGTAAGTTTTCTTCTTTACTCCAAAAAAAATGTTAAATAAATGTCAATTTAATTTTATTAAACATAGTTTGTATATTCATATATTTCATTAAACTTATGCTTGAGAATTTGACACAACAGTTTTCATTCCTTCTTCAATAATGCTAAGACATGATCGCCAATTAAAGAATGATTCTCTCAACATTTGCCAACGTTGCTTGCTGAATGTACGATACATTGTACTTGAAATATTTACTTTCTTTGCAGCTTGATCCATACGGCCACGCACAAGTTTTGTTCCAAAAACTAAAAATATAGATTGGTTGGTAATCAGTAAAAATAATACTTATTCAGAATCAACTCATTGCATCTTACGTTCCAGTAAAAATGGTTCTACTTGTTCAGCATTTATTTGTACTTGCTGTTGAATCGTTTCAAATGATAAAATACTGCTATCTTCAGCTAAACTCATTACCGTCAAGAGCTTCATCTTATGTATATTGGCATTATGATCTAAGCCTATAAAATAAATAATAAAATTTATTTAAATAAGGGTATTTAGAAAGAAAAGTCACAAATGATAAATAAATTACCTAAAGATTTGATTAAATCTTTGTGGCCTTTGTAAAAATCTAAATAATTAGCAAGATTTCCAGAAACAAATATAACTAAAAGTTCATGCAAAGGAGTAGATTGTAGAGATATAACAGGAGCCAAACTCAACAATGGTTCAAATAAAAATGTAGTTGGATCTGCAATAGCAGAGGCAATACATCTTTTAGCATCATCTTTAGCTTGTTTACCGTCATCAGCTGTGTAATTACGAAGAAGTTCAACCATAACTTCAGCAGCCAATTCACTAAAATATATTTGAATCAGTTTTAAAATTAATTATACATATAAGAAAATTACCTGTGTCCATTTTCAATCAATGCACTATGCAACTGTCTAAGTAGAGACTGCTTTTGTTTTTTAGTATGGTTGATGGACAGAAGAGATTTGTTTAAACTATCGATTCCTTTGTAAACCAATAACAGTTGCTTGTTTCGTTTGGCAACATCAATAATATCAGAATAAAGTTGGAAGCGTGCAGGTAGTTTTGGATCAACTGTACCAAATAACAACCAAAGACTAAATAAAGAAGATGAAATTAAAATGATTATTCAAAATAATGACTAATAATCTTTTACATAATAGTATTTTTACGTTTTTAGTATAATATTACTAAAACGATCTTCTTCATATTTCGACAATTTTTGACTAAATTCGGTTACAAGTTTGCTTTCAACGTCTACTGTGCCAATCCCAATAATTACTGATACAATTGAACACAAAAAGCTTTCAATATCAATATCTAATAAATCTGTTTCCAAACAAGCATTGCATTTAGATATAATTTCAAGCATATCTTCTTCAATATTATCTGGTGCATTTTCTTGTAAACTAGCTCCAATGCTACACAAATATGATCTTAATTCTAAAGCCTGAGAACAAAATAAAATATTTTACAATGAATAGACATTTTGATTTCGATAAAATTATATATAGTATACAATGGGAAAATAACACACTTATTACAATAAAAGAATTTGAAACATTCCCAATTGAAACATAGTATAAATAAATTTGAGAAAACAGAAAAGTTTTAAAGAACTATTGGTTTTTTTATTTTTACCATAATTAAAAAACATACATTTATTGCCTTTTGCAGCCATTATAAAATTAATATAAAACAAATATAATTTTAATCGCAACACAATTAATGGCGATTAATCCTCGGTGAAAGCTAAAAGGCATGTACATAGATATATATATGGAATATGGATCATGTAATGGAGATTTAATCGTACTTATTATCGAATATCGAAGGTAAAGTATTTTTATTATAAGTTTTTTACTTTGAATTGTCTAATGAACAGATATCGAAAAAAAAATAACTGCATTCCATTTTTTTAAACAAAATACATCAAATGGGTCTGCATGCTTCATGATTGCCTCTATTCAGCATTCACTAATTAAAATTTAAAAATCGAAATAAACATAAACCACCTATTTTATAAAAAATAATTTTTAAATTACTGATTGACGTTACGCTATCTGTTAAGACATTGTTACACTAAAGAAATTGGTTTCCACATTGCCTATACCTATGGTATATCTATGTATATTTAATCTATGATTTGGCTTATTTCATATAACTAATAACTAAACTCATTGATTAATTTTTAATGAGCAGATAAAATTCAAGCTTTTTATAAAATAATGGGAGCGACAAATAACTCTGTAAAACTAATATTGATGACAATTCTATACCTATAACAAAATACAAGTATTAAAAGTTGACAACAAATAGAACTATTAACTAACGAACTGCTGATCACCGGACTACTATCTAGTAAGATTTAGGAAACATCGCCTATGGCATTCGAATTTGTACATTTATACATTAAGGTAAGACATGTCGCTGCGACAAGTTGACAACATCTGTTTATACAAAAATGTTATTCATTGGTTTGCGAGACGCGACAAGTCACAGCGACCTAACTTTGAGTCGTCGCAACAGACGACACTACTGCTCTGAGAGCAGTACCTTGCGACATGTCGCCATGACACATCATGACTATTGAAAGGTTTGTAGATATAATGGCGTCAACACTGATATTCTAGGCGTCAAAAGATGAAATTCTAATTCGTGAAGTTCAGAATAATACACTTCTTTACAATAATGGAGATCCAAATTATAAAAATTTTATTCAAAAAAACGACATTTGATATCATCAATTATTCTCTATCCCGATATATAAATAATTAATTTATATGTTTTTTAATGTTTGGCGATGAGGTAACTAAAATTTGTTGTTGTTCTTCTTCTTCTTGTCACCGCGACATGTCGTACCTTAGAAACCGTACGTTTAACAGAGACATAGTTCGAATCTTCAGGTTTCATGATATAAAAGTTATATGGCACGTCGTCGAACGTACGGATTTTTAGATCAGATTAAACGAAGTATAAGGTCTATGCGTGGAACCTGTGTCGATCACTGCAGAGCTGATACTCCGGACGATGTCCCAAGTACGTATAATTACAATACATAAACATACACAATCGTGTCGAAACTTACTTGTTCTTCCCGTGAAAGTTCGATAAACGTCGGAGGACCTGCCATGGTGCACGTTAAAAAAATTATTGAGCAGACAGGCGAGAATTACGAAAATACGATTTAAAAGAAGGCGGACTGGAAACGGGTTTAATATTTTACCACTCGGTTAACTGATCCCAGACCGGATTGTAAAAAAAATAAAGGTTCAAAAATTATATTAGTATCGACCCGGTGGACGGAGTGACGTACGAGCTCATGACGATGGTACGATTAATAGAGCGTGCGGGCGGCGCGTGACGGGTGTGTTCATATGATTGCATATCGTTTACAAAATCCGTTTCCTAACCTCAAACACTCGCGCGCGCGATAGAACAACCTATGACCCGCGTTTTTAATAACAGCCGTTCGTTTCCTACCTACCCCTCCCACGGCCTAGGGATTAGCAAAGGTACGCGATTGATCGGCCAAAAACGGTTATGATGACAACAGATTACAATAATAATTATTCATTATTAATATTCGACAGACTTTAATGGCATGCGTGTGCGGGTGTTACCACGCGTTCGCGTTGAAATTCAATTGAATATTAAACAAAACATTTACGGGGAAACGCTATTCCCTCGATGAGATTCCTCTTGCGCCGCCATACACCGCGTCTACGCGACAGTTGTGGTACGGCAGAGAGCACGAGAACGACGACGAGATCTGTCCGTCTGCGGTCGGACTCGGATTACGGTGCGCTTGAGGCGGAACCGACCCGTTCTCGGTCAGTTTCGCGTCGGTCGCAACAGCAGCAGCTGCTCGATATGCGTTTTCCTGTACCTTTGATTCGGTGGTGGGGAGTGTGTGGATGTGCTATTCCGTGCCCGTGACGAATAATAATAGTAATAACAACAACAATAATAATAATAATAATAGTCCGGTTGCGCGTTTTTCGTGCTGGTAGTGTATTATAATTAGCCATGCCCCGTAACGTTGCTAACATCAGACCTTGCGCGTTTTTCCATATTACTATCTGAACGAGTAAATAGAAAAAAAAAAATTATATTGTAATTTCGCTGAGACAATATCACACTCACTATTCACACACGCGCACCAAGACGATACATACTTATATATATATATATATATATATATATTGTGTGTTTATATGTATATATATGTGTGTGAACGTATATATAAGGCGCCCGTGTGTCATCTATGTTCGTCCGAAATCGGTTTTGAGGAATTTGTCTGAGATCACCAGAATAAATGACAGTCCAATGACATGCGCTATGAGATGGAAGACTAAACGCACCGTTTGTAATTTTTATTGAATCGTAAAAATACCGTAAGTAGGTCATTTTAGTAGAGATAATTTTCTATAAGCTCGGAGTTGCTATCATCGAAAATCGAATTTCCTTACTTGTAACTTGTTTTCCGGTATACCCGGTAATGACAAAATTAAAAGTGCATTCAATCTGACAATGTTGGATTTTGCTCTCTCCTTAAGTCGTTTGTAATGATTGTATCTTGCATTCTGACTCGACCATTCGATTCATTCTCTTAGTATAAACACTCATTGTACATGGCATAATATTTGTCTTGTAGCTTATCATAATACTACCATGGGTCAAACACTATCAGAACCAGTGACTACGAAACACACAGAAAGCTGTAAGAATCAGTATTTAAAAGTTGGTTCCAGCTCTATGCAAGGATGGAGAATCAACATGGAAGATTCCCATACACACATTCTAGCACTACCTGATGATCCAAGTGCTGCATTTTTTGGAGTCTACGATGGTCATGGAGGTAATTCGTTTTAGTACACACATTAATAGATACTCAAAATGTATAGTTTGAAACACTATAATGATCAGTTTTCTTTGTAATCATTGCACGCTATTACATTGAAGGGTATTTCATTTCATGTTAACAATCTATTTCAATACTCAATTAATATCTAGTATTTGCTTTTTTATTTTTAGTTTTAAGATTTTACTATAATACTGAAATTATAACATAGTTATTTCAATCAAACATTTAATGTCTAAATCTTTTATTATTCGCAAGTTATAGAATTTTTTGAAACTTATAACTAAAGATAAAGGACATTGTACGAAGAAATTAAATTTTCTTCATTTGTAAGACGTTTATACATCAATGATTAATTTTAAATTAAAATTGTCCTATTATTTTTTTAGGTACATTTAATTAATTCGACTTTAAAATATAACTGTTTACCATCCTTTTTTTAAGTTATTATACATGCATACAATTCTGGAATAATTTATATAAAAATGATGGTAGAAATTGGAAATGTATTATTTTAATTAAATTTTTGATTTTAGGTGCAAGAATAGCGCAATATGCTGGCAAACATTTACATAAATTTATTACTAAAAGACCAGAATATGAAGAAAATAAAATTAGTGAAGCATTACAACTAGTAATATAATAATAATAATATTATTATTATTATTTTTTTTTATTCTTAAATATAATTTCTGATATGTATTTAATTTCTAGGGTTTTATGGACATGGATACTGCTATGGCTGAAGATGAAATGCTAAAAGATGAGCTTGCTGGATCTACTGCTGTTGTTGTTGTAGTAAAAGATAAAGTAATTTATTGTGTAAGTAAAAAAAATTAATATATTTTACTCAATTTATGTATCATATGTTTTTTATTTTTTTTTTTCTATTCATTTTAGGCTAATGTTGGGGATTCCAGAGCTATTGCATCAGTGAATGGTGTAGTAGAACCATTATCATATGACCACAAACCAAACAATGAATTGGAAACTAAAAGAATTGAAGCTGCTGGTGGTTGGGTCATGTTTAACAGGGTGAATGGTAATTTAGCTCTATCCAGAGCTTTAGGCGATTATATATTTAAAAAAAATGACCAAAAAAAATTAGATGAACAAATAGTTATTGGTAAGAATAATTGTATTATTTGTATTATTATTAATAAGTCTTGGTTTTGCTCCTATTTCAATTACTTAAAAAAATTTGAAATTCTTAAATAAATATATTTACATATTATATACATATTAAATTAATGACTTAAATTATAATTATTTTATTCTTTAATATCTATAAAACAAATTTACAACATCTATAATTTCATTATAAAAGTAAAATGTATTGATGATTTACATATAACTTACAGCATGGCCTGATATTGAAGTAAAGCCAGTTTCAAAGGACTTAGAATTTATTGTATTAGCTTGTGATGGAATTTGGGATGTAATGACCAACGAGGTATGACATATTTTAAGTAATAAAAGTTGTTTATTTAATATTTAGACCTCGCACTATTTGTTTTTATATTTAAATAAATCAATCTTACATTTTTTACAATTCTTAAAATCTTTATACCTATTTTATTATTTATAAGTTAATTAATAATTCAATAGACATCTCAGTTTAAAATATTTTTACCGAATTTAGGTTATTTATTTGTAGAAATAATTAACCATAATAGGATGAATGTATAAAACATAATTGTAATTTAAATGAAGTCAGAAATTATTAGATTCTTTATACTTATAGTCCTTCAAACATATTTTTTAGTCATAATTTTAGCCAATATTTTTTAAATTTAAACTATTTCTGTGACTTATTTTTATTGTTTATAGGAAGTTGTTGAGTTTGTACGATTCCGTGTCAGCAATGGTATGGAACCCGAAGATATATGTGAAGACTTAATGACTAGATGTTTAGCACCTAATGGTCAAATGGGTGGTCTTGGATGTGACAACATGACAGTTGTGATAGTTTGTTTCCTGGGAGACCGAACTTGGAAAGAACTACAAATACAATGTTCTAAACCTATACCAGGAAAATCAAACAGCCCTAGTAATTCGCCAAAACTCAGTACCAAAACTGTACACTAGTATTTTTTTGAGCATTGTTTTATTTATATTTATTTTAATTTTGTTCTCACACATCATTTGTTTTCTGGCAATAAATTAATAATAATGAAATTTTTGTACATAATAGCACTGGGATCATTTTTTAATTGTTTGTGTCATAATATTATTGTATTTTATTTAACATTTTTTCCTTTTTATAATTTTTGTCTCTTTGTAGATAAAAAGTAATATAAATTATTGCCCTATTAAATCCCAAGTCATTTTTGTATTTATATAAATTTTTTTTATATATATATATATAATATGCTACTATATACTAATAATGTCTAATACCTAATTTTTGAAACATTAATGATGTAAATAACATTTTCATGTAACACACTAGTCCATCCAAAGCTTTAGGGGATGATATTAATTTTTAGAGCATGAGTTAAAAATGAGATAAAATTATACTTAAATATTTTAATATGAAAAATAGTGCATTAAATGTTATGTAATTTTAAACAAAATATTTGTACAATCAGATGTTTAGTTTTTAGCACCCAAAGGACTGGCCATATTATAATTTTTGTGAATGAATATTAATAAAATAATAGTATAACTTGTATTTGTTAATAAATGATTGAGTAATATCAATTAATTATATATTTTTAGTAGTTTTAAGAATTATATAACTTACAAAATATGTCATATAGTTAACTACTAGTATTTGAAATAAATATATGGTTTCCTAGATTGGTAGTGTATTAAATTGTCCTCCTAAGCTATATATATTTTTTTTTTTTTGCAAATATCTTAATTACATATACAAGAAGAATAAAAAAAAAAAAAAAAACAGAAATAAGCTGTTAAAATGGTGATATAATCTAAAGTTAGGTAATTTCATTTCTGTCTGACCGTATGGGGTACTGAAATGAATTAAAGTTATAAAGACAACTGAATTAAATTTATTTTGTAATTGCATCAATTTTGATTGGTATTTCTTTAAAAGGAAAAATCTATTCTTATACATGATATAAAATGATTAATTATTGAAATGACTTGGTATTTGATCATATTATAGTGTGTAACTCTGAACAAACTCATCAAATGCAGATATCAATTAGCGAATGTTCAAGTTTTGGAGAGTTAACAACATTTGAGTTGGTAAGTATTGTTGCATGCCGACCATTTGATTGTTAATTTCAGTCACTAGTAATCTAGTCAACGCTTGGATGTAGTTATAGTGATGAAATAATTAATACTCTTTAGGATTAGTTGGTTTATTAAACTGTTAAAATTATTCTAAGTACAATCAATTTAAGTTAGTTGTAATTATTCTAAGTGCAAATATTTAAACTCTTGAAAATATTCTATATCCAGAAATTAAACTATAAAAAATTATTCAAAATATTTCTAAGTCCAAACCGTGACATACACTAAATAGCGTGAAGGTGCTCAGTGTCGCATAGACAGAATTCGTTTGATTTGCCCTTATTTTCTGGTCCCTTTTATGTCTGATATATGCAAGTGTGTGTGTGTGTATATGAAAATAATAAAAATATGATATTTCCTTATTGATTCTGAGTGTGTGTGTGTGTATAATGTGATTATGTGTGGTAATTAATGTATCTCACAGATGTGATTATTTTAATAATGTTTCCTCGTTATATCACATCCGTATAAAATGTGAATGTGGTTAACAATCAATAATCATTTATTTATTTCCTTGCTTAACTTTGCGTGATGCATGACATTTGAAAGATGTGGTTTAATATTTATAAAAGTTCATTTATTATATGAATGTATCATTATATACTCTTGCATACCCATATGTAATGTAGGGTGATTGTGGTATTATTGTTATCTAAGTACGTGGGACACGACAGTATAAATGGTCATTTTAAGCATTTTGTAAGGGATAACATAAATTGTTTAAGCAATTTAAGTACAATATATTATTGACACTGAATTTTTAATATTATGTACGTAAAAAGTATACACGTAGACTAATTGTGCACAATTTTATAAAATAAGATATATTTAGATTTGTAAAGTAACATCGGTTCGGAATACAAAAACAAAGTAAACCGTTCTCCGTCGTGTTGTTGATATTGTATGATTATACGGATCGCTTATGTTGCAGCTACACGTGTTGTTTTGTCGCGTTACGTTAGTTTGTATGAAAAAAAAATAACGAATAAAAAGCGTTACGCAGACGTATTAATAACTAGTTATTTTGCGATTAACATTAATTGTATTGAGCCTACTGACGCAATTCCCGCTCGTCCCAATGATGAATGACAATGAACGGCCGTGAAACAGGCGCGCGAAAAGTAAAAAAAAAATAAAAAAATACGTCGAAAAACAAATAATAAAATATTTTGCGGTTTCGGTCTTGGGTTCCGTTTCCAACCGTAGCTGCCGAAAAGTACCGGGCTGTACAACTATATCCAGGGGCACAATTTCAGTTAAAAAACCGGGGGTGCTAAAGCCCTTCTATCTTTTTCATGTTCCTTAATAGTTATAGATACCCGCAACCCGTACAATTAAACAGTTACTAAAATATTTGGTAAATATTTGAATATTTCTAAATTTAAATTGTTCACTTTGATTTTATATTTTTATTGTGCGTGTAACGAATACCCGTCTGTAAACACTAATGTTTCATCACATGATCACTTTTAGATTCTGAGTGAAACGAAGGATATTATGGTTTTCAGACTTAGGTAAAATACTTTATACAAATTGTATTCCGAATACATTATTTAGAATACTTCAAAAGTATTCCAAATCCTTTTAAAATACTTCTAATTTTCATACTATAAAAATAATAGATGTCCACTCAATAGAAATATTTGAAATTGTAGACTAAATACATGTTTTTTGTTGTATTTTTATATTACATAACTGTTATAATTTATGGTTTACAACAATAATAAATAGGTACCGTAAAATGGGGTGTCTTCGGACTAGTGGTGTGACTCCGGACAAAACCATATTTTTGTAGTTTTCTTATAATTTTAGATTACAAGTTTGATAAAAGTTGAAAACTGATAATCCACGTTAATATCTATTATATCTTCCATTTAATATAATATTTATTAATAACATAATATTATCATACCATATGTTATGGAGGTAAATACAAGATGTTCTATTTTTGGATTTTAAAATTATTAAACTTATAACAACTGTAGCATAACAGCAAATGGACGTATTTGATTTCGGTTTGCGGCAATCGACTCGCTAACTTGTCAGTAATAATTTACATGTGTGCAAATTGTTAGTTAATTTATCCTCACATTGAAGTGTTACATTGTTCAAATTAATTTAAAACGTGGGGTTACTTCGGACACGTCAATTACGATGCCCAAATCATACAAGAAAAAGGTAGGTGGCCGTTCTTATCAGAATTACGATCATAATATAATTAAAAATGCAGTTGATGCCGTTTGTTACAAAAAAATAACAATTCGACGTGCTTCTGAAGCGTTCGGAATACCAAAAAGTACAATATGTGACCATTTAAATACAAACAAAATGATAAAAAAGCCTGGTGGACAACCAATTTTAAACACCGACGAAGAAAGTCAACTTGTAGTAGGATTATGAAATGTTCGGAGTATTCGGTCATATTTCGTTTTTTCACAAGTCAAAGATAACAGTAATATCACAAAGATGCAAGTAGTACGAAAGTTAGTGCCCAGTAAAATAATGAAACGGGGACATTTCATTTTTGACAAGATTGATGCAACTAATTTTCATTGAAGAAATAAAAATTTAAATACCTAATATAACATTTTATAAAAGTTTTGTTTGATAATTATTAGTTTATGTTTGAAAAGAAAAAAATTTAATTTTAAGTTGATATTTTTATAAAAGTAAAAAATTATTTTTGTTAATTCAAAATATTTAATAAAATATGTTGTATTTATAGTAAAGTTTTTTTTTTTTGTTTAATCCGTCACATTTTTTAAAAAAAATATCTCTACTGTTCGGAGTCAACCAATATCATTTTTACATTGGTTTTTAATGAAATAAAATAAGTGTCCGAAGTCACCCCATTTTGCGGGTACCTCCGGACAAAATTAAACTTTAAAAAAGTGAGAACTTTAATAACTTTAATGATTACTCTTCTTCTATATGGTTTCAATATACCTAAAGAACATGGTATATTTTTTTCATAATTTTAGAAACAGTATATTGAGGTTAATTTATGAAAAAACGTTAAGATCTGTCCGGAGTCACCCCATTTTACGGTACCTGATATTAGCTTATACAAGATACGACGGAGAAGTAAAAAAATCATTTAAAAAAGAGATGATTTAACGGTATTCGAAATCCTGTATTCAGAATACTCGTTATAAGTGTTGAATACTTTCAAAAAAAGTATTTAAAAAGTATTCGAAATACTTAAAAAGTATTCTGAATACAGTATTTCGGCTATTGTATTCGGAATACTATCCAAGTCTGATGGTTTTGTAATGGTACTTCTCATACTTCTCATAACATATGTATCTGTTGTTTATATTTTATTTTTTTAGCACTTTTTTGGATAGAAATACTGATCCAAAAGTTTTTTCTAGGAACTTTTTAGATTTTAAATTTGCATATTGTGGTACTTTAGATAAGTCATTTTTTTAAATTTTAATAGTTTTTTCAGGCATGAAGAAAAAACTGTACTGAAACAGTAAAAATACGACTCACATTTTAGATTTTGGTTATTTAGTCATAATTCTAAAGGTAATGTGGCTTGAAACTTTTACCCTATAACAAAGATATTTTTTTTTGTACTTGATAAAATTTAAAAAAAGCGCTTTTGGTTTAAATACAGAACTTTAAAAATACCTTATTTTTTGAAAATCTTTAAGTAATAACCGTATTACTTTTATTTTTGGATATTGAATATCAATATTGATATTGATATTGAAAATGTAATATCACCTTACTTATATACGAGACCTACTTACCTATTTACCGATACTGGAAAAATTTTAAAAACCGTTAGTCTGAAATTTATTTCATAAGCGTTTAGTAAATGATTATATCTATGATTTTTACGGATATTACTGTTTTTACATCGATTTTAAACATTACATTTTTATTAAAAAAAATCCAATCATAATGAAACTTTGAATACAGATAAATTTGGTTAAAAAAAAAAAAATGTTCGTCAAAATAAAATGTTAAATTGGTTGATAAAAAAAATAACCAACTGGTAATTAAAATGGTAAAATATACTACTAAATGATTAGTTTAAGTATTGAATCTTTGCTCAAAACCGTTTTGATAAAGAAATTACTTATCATTTCTTTAAAACTCAGTATACTACTAGGCTTGCCACTCGTTTCGATGTCCCGGCCGATCATTCAGCTTATCCCGGTTAATAGAAGCCGAGAGAAAATAACATTTAATATTATTATAATAAGACATAGAATAATATTGTACATTATATCATTATATTATGGTAATCTAATTGGTAGGTATGGTTATATTATATAACTTATATACAATAATAATGCATTTTTATATTAGCCAATAAATATTTTAATTACAAAACTATATACTTATTTTGTTTTTATATCAAAATAAAAAAAAGGGTTATTCAATATGATGACCCGATTTAGGGATTTAAAAATCTATCAACCCCCTACATCTATTACTATTATCCAGTTCGAGGACCGAAAGACAGAGGACGAACTTCCACAAGCAGGGCTCCCACAAGGGGGGAGGACTGATGGACCTTGAGTACAAGGGCCTGGATATTTTAAGGGCCTATGGTCCTGTTGAAATTTATTTGTAATTTTTGAAATTTTAGTAGAAATATTTATTTTACATTAAATAATATTGTAAAATAACATTTTACATATATTTAGTCAATTTGATAGTTCAAAATGCGGATTAACCAATGATTATCGTAGAATGGGATATCATTAGTCCAGATTTCACTTTTTTTTTCTTAAATATGAATCAACTACTTTATAAGTCATTTTGGAGTTTTAGACACTTGAATATTCACACTTTTATTTGCTAAAAAACCTTATTTTTATAAAAAAAATTAACTATTTACATGTTGACTGGCTGCATTAACTTTCCTCAAAGTTTTTGTCAGTTAACTCGATCAAAAGATGAACTTATTCAGAAGGTGTTTCCAGATGTTTCTCAAAATTACAGAAACCATGATTGGTTGAGCGAACGATCTATACTGGCTGCAAAAAACATAGATGTAAATGAATTAAATTTCAAAATTCAAGAACAAATTACAGGCGAATTGAGGATATATAAATTAGTTGATTCGGCTACTAATCAAGATGATGTAGTCAACTATCCACCGGAATTTTTAAACCCGCTGGATTTGCCAAGATTGCCACCTCACAATCTTCAATTAAAGGTTGGATCGGTGGTTATAATGTTGCGAAATATCAACCAACCGCGTCTTTGCAACGGTACACGGTTAGCGATAAAAAAATTACTAAACAATGTGATAGAAGCAACTATACTCAAAGGAAAGTATAAAGGAGAAGATGTTCTCATACCGCCCATCCCAATGATTCCGACTGATGTGCCATTTGAGTTTAAACGACTACAGTTTCCAGTGCGTCTTGCTTTTGCTATGACTATAAACAAGTCCCAGGGGCAATCATTAAGTGTTTGTGGTATTAATCTAGAAAACCCATGTTTCTCACATGGTCAATTGTATGTTGCCTGTTCCCGTGTTGGAAAACCATCAGATTTGTTTATCTATGCGCCAGGTAATCAAACAAAAAACATCGTATACCACAAAGCACTACAATGATAATAATAATAATTATGATTCACATGATTAACAATAAAGCGATTACTTACTTTTAAATCCTAATATATGTTTTATTTAATTATTTTTTATTCACAACGCCCTATCACCAGGGTGACGGTTCTGTTCAGGAGAATTTTTTAAAATACGTAGTCACAAAAACTGCCACATTACAAATCTTTTTGACAGGACGAAGTCTGTCGGGTCAGCTAGTGAAAAAAATAAAATTAATCTCAAAGTTTTGAATCACTCAAGAATACAGAATATTATAAAATTATTTAGTGTTTAGATAACCTCCTAAAGAAACATAAATATTAAAAAAAAAAAAAAAACAATTTATAACAAATTAATAAAATAATATTAAAAAAACAAACTTCAGTCTCAAAGTTATGTAGCAGTCAAGAATATACCTAAACAATATTAAAAAAACATTGTCAAAAAATTTCATAAATTTAATAAAATTTCGAACAAAATCATCAAGTTCAAAAACTGAAAATTGATTCCGTTTGGCAACTATCTTAGGAAGGTTGATTTTTCTTAAGACGTCTTTCCACTTATATACTATAGCATCTTTTCTTTGTGGCCACAAGAACTTAATTCATTTTTCCATACAGCCATACAGTCTACTACGGAGCCTTTTTCGGATAAACTTACAATTCTTCCAGGATATTTCTCGCCATTAAATAAAACTATGACAAAGTTAACAATCTCAAAATCGTTTTGGTTTAATTATGCTTTCTTATTGGAAAGTGCATCCAACCAGTTGGATTTTCCTCTGAATCTGAATCTGAGTTCAAGTCACTGATTCCATCTGACTGTAATATAATTTTGTCTAATTCTTTATCCGAAGAACTTGAGGACAATTGTATTATCGTTTTTTTAGATTTTATTGACTTGGTTTTTATACGTTTTTGGTCTTCCACATTAGTAACATCATGAACTGTTATACTTTTACTAGATGGTAATTGCAATATTTTTCGTCTTTTTACGTTGCCTGTGCCAATATATTCAGTTTGTTTGGATTCCAGCTGGTCAATAAATGCTTTGCTTATAATCAGGGCCGGATCTAGGGGAGGGGAAGTCGGGGATTTATCCCCGGGCGTAACATTTTAGAGGGTGTAATTTTCGTAATTATTAACAACTAATTTGATATTTTTAACTTCGTTAAATACTGATATTAGGTTAAAACTCAATAAGTACGATTGTATATTGATTATAAGAACACAATTTATTTGAGTATTTGTTTATTAGTCTATGGATAGGGCGTAATTTTAACATTTTACCCGGGCGTAAAAATTCCTAGTTCCATCTCTGCTTATAATACTACTGTCATGTTGACTTAATTTGTTATAAAAATGATTTAACTCATTCATATCCCGGGAGATTATTTTTAAATATATTTATTTTGACAACTTTTTTATCAAGGTAATTTTTAACAGTTATTCAAAAGTCAGCTTTAATAACCGGAAAACCATAATCAGCTAATTTTATTATATGTTGTTCGAAACCTTTTTCTTCGGCTTCAGTAAATATACGAGAACGACCAATAGGTTTCAAGTGATTTCCTTTTAATTTATTTTTTATTGTGGACCTAGCTATACCAAAATGTGCTGCAGCTTCACGCTGAGTCATTTTACGTAAAATGACATATTGTAAACACTCATTCAAGGTTTCCGAAGAATAATTTACGTAATGTCTTGATCCAAGACGTTTTTTTTTTTTTTTTTGTTTGTGGCATTTTTTCTAAATAATAAAAAATGATTCAGGTTTAAAGTATTGAAAAAAATAAAAAAAATAAATAAAATGTTTAAAAAAATGAAAAACCACAATCATCAAAGTTGATAGTCTTTACGTCAAAAACATTTTAAGAATATTGGCATCGGGTAACTTTGGCCCAACTTAATTCTGGGCCAAAGTTATACAAAATAATGGACAATATTAGACCAAAATGATAATGAATGATTGTACAAAATGTAAATAAAATAATTGTATTCAAACCACCATAACTTATTTCTATAATAATTTTTGTACTTAAAAAATATTTACCGAAGATTTTTAACGTCCAATGTTACTTAGTTGACACCAAGATTTTAAAGAAGTTCTTAATAATCGTGGTTGACACCAAATTAGTAATGTTATAATTTGTTCGTTATTTGATAACAGATCTAATACATTTTACTAAATGAAGTTGTGAATGATTGTTAACATACAATTCGTTACATATTTAGACCACTACTCCTACCTGCAGTTTGATACAGTTTTAAAGAAATTACGTTAAATAGTACAGCTGTTATCTCATAATTAAACTTTTTCCAACTTATGGGCCAAAGTTGTCATTAAGGATTAATGTTACCCCATTTGAGGGTACCTAGAAATTAATGGATTGGCTTCGACAATCAATTTTGACGATATCATTACTGAGTTCGCTGAACTCAAAGCCAGCAAAATAAAATTTTAACTTAAGAAAAATATATTAAATATAAATTAAAATGTACTTGTTTTTTTTTCTTTTTTAATTTAAATAATATTGTAATAAAAAAATAAAATGGACATTATTAATGTTGAAATGCTTATGAATCTTGAATTTGAATTTGTATAATGAAAAAACAAATATTTTTCCTAAAATTGTTTTATATATATATATATATATATATATATATAGTAAATTATATTTTTGGAAATTTTAAAAAGGTCCCGGACAATCATTTAGTATAGGAGCCCGAAATTGTATGTGGGGGCCTTGTCCACAAGCATTATTTAAATAATAAATTTATATATTTATACAATAAAAACTTTGTTTTTATATACTTAATGAGTAATGAATATTTAAATATAAATTAATATGAACACATTTGGGGATGCTAAGTTCACCCAAGCACCCCCCCCCCAAATTGTGTCTATGATTATATAGGTGCGTTATCCCAGCACTCCCACTTTCGAAATTATGAATTGTAATCAAGCAGTATTATGTACTTTATTTTGTACAATTTTGAACAACCAAAATTCAATTTAGTACAACCCCCAAACTTCCCCGAAATTCAATTTCATTTTACGGATGCTGCGGTAACGTTACACCAGCACCCAGATCAACTTTTTTTTCACAAATTACAACTTTAAACCGTACAGTATTATGTACTTTATTTTGTACAATTTTGTACAACCAAAATAAATCTTCTACAACCCCACCCCCCGAAATTCAATTTCATCTTACGGGTGTTATCGCGTATCTTTTATCAATATTGTATCTAAGATACTTGTATCAAAGATACAGCACTTCCTTTTAGGTTGGAATAGTTGCTGTTAATGATTAATCAATTATTGTTAAATGATTAATTTATATAATTCAAAAAGAATCAACAGAATATAGTAGGTAAGTTCTCGGATATCAAGTTTTAAAATTATGTCAATTATAGGTGCATTATTTTAAAAATAGTTAAATTAATCATTTATTTATTTATGTATTAATATCATATTACATGTTTACATTTGTAAATATCATGAATGATTTATTTTCTGATAAGAATAACAAAAAAAAATCGAAGAGTATCTACATTATATACAGATACATCGGTACATGTATACGTCTAGTTTCTACTGAATACAGTTGACATAAGAATGTCAATGCCGATTAGGTATTAGATACTAGGATTAAGCTGAAGGTAACTTTTTTAACACGTGTAAAAAATAAACAAGGTTCAAAGACCGCATGTTAAATATTTTTTTAAATAAACATTTTATTTTAATTTAAATGACAGAATCGTCATCTATAACACTTTTAGTGATTAATAATAAAGAACGGTGTAGAGAAATACAAAACGTACTCACGCGTTTCAAGCTGCTCGATGTGTCCATAAAATAGTTAAAAAATATATATATTAATATAAAATAATATAAATATGTTTATATATGTGTTTATGTATATGTTTATATTTTTACACCATTAAAAGCTTATGACAAATCATTGAAATTAGCGGCCAAAGAAATAACCTTAGCTTTTCATACTGTTATGCATAATCATAGCTTTAACTCAATGACTTGTACAGCAGATCTTATTCGTCTTTTATTTAATGAAAAAAAATTTACTTGTGCTAAAACAAAAACCCGT